ACATTTTCTCGCTTAGACTGTGATCATCTTCCTGAATCTTAATTCTATCACTGAATGTGCTGATGGTCCCTCCAATCTTTGCATCATCTGCAAAACTGGTAAACATCCCACCTGAATCATCCCAGTCACTGATCAAAGCACAGGGGCTGGGTCCTGTGAGCCCCACTCCAGCTCTTCTGTGTGTGTTAGGTCAGTCCACGGACAGCACCAGCAGCTACACACGATCCGAGGATGTGGTCAGTGTTTTCTCTCCCTCTCTGCAGGATGCCAGACTTGCAGGTCATGAGTGATTCTTGTGCCCACACCCACTGTGCCTCCTGCCCACAGACACCACTCCACACTCCCCTGATTGAAGCCACCATTCTCATTATGGGAAAACATGTTTAATTTAAAAAATATTTTCCAGCATGTGTCTTAGAACTACAAATAGAGATGAATTTTGTTCCGAATTCTAGAATTCGGCTACTGGAGTTTTTCCTTCACAGATCCCAGCTCTCCCTGTCCTAGGGATTCCTCTGCCTCTTACACACAGGGTGACCTCCTATTGCCAGCCCCCTTTGTCCTATAAGGTCCCTCAGAATTGGCTTAGGAGGGCCTGCTGTGGTCCCAGCTCCTGGTGTAGTCGGATCCAATTAGAACTTAGTGACCTGATAAGTCCAATTAGAACTTAGTGACCCCCTGAGAACTGTCCTGAAGCCGAGTGGCTTCATGTACCATGAGCTCCATTGGAGTCAAACTTCACTGGCTTGGAAACCCATGGTTACAGGGTTAAGGTTTCCACAAGAAAAGACTGCCAGGTCCAAGTGAGGATCCCACACAGTCCTGAAAGGTAACCCAATAATAAGCACAGGATTATGGGTGGATGACAGCTGGTACCTGGACTTCAGATTGTCCCCAGCCTTCACTGGAAGTCCCCATGCCATGGGCTTTTGATGTGTCGATTCCTTGGCTATAGCTGCTGGGCTCTAGAAACGTGATGCTAGGAAGAAGGACAGATGGTCCAGCGAGTCTCTGGCTCCAGGGGCCTGCTGTCTTCCAGACCACACGGCACTGCAGCCAGCAGAGTCACTGGGGAGGAACTCGGGAGCTGAAGGTTCATCTAGGCTTCTGTCTCATAAAATTTTAGCACCCTAAGGGCCAGAGGTTGCAGCTCCCACTTGGATCCTAAGCAGAGAAACAGGAGATGAAACCAGTACAGAGATCATCACTGGGCTCAGAGGAAGCAGGCCTGTTTGAAGACTCAGTCACATTAACAGGAGTTTCCGGGGGCTGTGCAAAGCCCAGCTCTTCAGTGGCCTAAACAAGTGCCCTAAGATGCTGTAGCAACCAACCACTCCTCCTCACCCCAGCTAAACAGACAGTGCTTAAGCGCTCTGCTGCTCCCTGAGTGACAGCTTTCTCACTGGTCACATACTGTCATAGTTACACCTGACCCACAGGGCCACCGTAACTTACTGCTTATAAAGTACCTCTGTGGGAAACCGAACAGACTCTAGATAAATGTTACGGTGTCTACACTCTTACCATGGAAATCACTCAGCACCAATTCTTCTTTTAACTCTGACTGTATCCATGAGGCAGCTAAGCAAAGATGGCCACAAAAATAATGCCCTGTTTTGTTTGGTTTTTCAAGAGTGGCTCGCACTCTTCAGAGGGATCGCATTCACACTGACCTCTTCAGAGGCTCTTGCTTGTGAGACAGGGCAGGAAAGTCTTTCCAGTCTCGGCTTGCACAGGAGAAAACAGCAGGTGGAGGTGGGTGAAGCTGGGTCCCCCAGGATTGCCAGCCCTAAGAGGGGTCTTCTGACTTTTCCCGCATTGCTCTGTTCCTCCTTGACAACAGAACATAAATGTTCTCACAAACTTACTCCTCATTACTACCAAGTCCAAAACACACCAGGTCTCAGCTGTACAAATATTTTTCAACCCTTGGCCTTTAGATGAATGTGTTAGTTCAAACTTGTCCCAAAAAATGATGAAAGTGGCTTTAATAGAAAGACAAACTTCCAGGTCAGAAATAAGAGGTTTGGAAACCCTTGGTACCAGGGAACTTTTTATCTCCTGTCAACATAGTAAAGCACCCAGCATGCTAATCTTCATGGCTTTCAAGGGTGCTTAGGCAAGAAAAAATGGGGGGCAAAAAGCAGAAAAAGCCATGTTTTTGAGGAGTAGAGCAAAGTGCATACTTTCACCAGTAGGTGGCGATAGAGTAATAATCTAAAGGAGCAAAATGTTTAAAGATAAATCCTAAATATTTTGAACATGGAGACTGTGTGACCCCAGTACGGTTATTTACTAAATTAAGGTCCCCAGAAGCTACCTAACTTAATCGGGGTCACACAACTGGTTAATGGCTGAACCGGATTAACCTCACTTCTTCCTATTAAACCAGTGTGTGTAAGAGCATGGATTGCCTTTTAAAATTGCCTGGCTCTTAACCCCAGACAGAAAAATAGCACCACTTCTGAGTGTGCGAATAATTCCAGTTGAGAGCAAAGCACAGAGCCTGCATGAAATGAAACAGTGGCTCACACCCTCAGCCTTCTAAGCGGGGGAAGAAATCAGCAGTCATTGTTGTGTTATGAGGTTTCCTGAAACGTTCATGCCGTTTCTGAGCTGCCATTCCCCCAGAGAGATCATGAATTGTTGGGCAAGAATCTGCCCTTCACCACCACCCTTCCATGCCATCAACATGTTTGTGACGAAGGGCATCAAGCCTCTCGAAGCATGTAGAATCCAGGTGCCACATGATTTCATTCTCCTTAAGGCATATGGAAGTGGAAGCTCAGGAACTGGGTGGACGGCTGCTCCCTGGAGGGATCAGACTTGATCCGTCTGATTCCAAAGACGATAATCCAATCAGGTGGCACCAATGTGTCTATCTAGAGTGCTATTAAGCACCTATTGAGTGCTAAATATGTATGCATGGGCTGGGTTTGGATGTATGGACAGACAGATGAATCAACTGATGAAAATACATGAGGTTAGACATTTCAGATCCCTCCAATGAAATTTTTTCAGTCTCAGTAATCCAAGCAGGAATATACCTACATGCTATTTTGCATGGACATCTGATGAATTCCTTGCCTCTGGGGGTATTGAAGTACCAACCAGGTACTTTTTTTTTTTTTTTTTTTTTTTTTTTGTCTTTTTCATTTTTATTGGTACCAGGGATCGAACTCATGACTGCCTGCTTGCAAGGCAGGTGCTTATGCCGCTGAGCTAAATCCCCAGCCCCCCAACCAGGTACTTAATGGCAATGTTGTAAAAGCAGCCTGAGGGTTTAGACTAGATGAGATTTTTAGGCCCTTTAGCATCCTAGAATCCGTGGTTCTTGGAATCTAGTGAATTAAATGGGCAACAATAATTATGCCTTCGGCTTTCAAAGTTTTACACAGGAAAATCACACCCATTAAAGGTGACTTCATCCAAAACTGTGGTCCCACAGTCCTGGACTGACCTTTCTTTCACAATTAGCAAACGGGATTCTAGCAGTTCACTTCAAAGGTACTGCTGGTTTGGTCTAAGGAACAAGTTTCTTTTTAACTTTAAAAATCAGGAGAAACACACTTGTAGAGGATGGAACCAGCCCTTTTAGCCGCAGCCAATCTCTCAGTCCTGGCCAGATCAGGCTGCACAGAAGCACAGACCTAAGAGGATTGCAAAATGCAGCTGGTGTCCCTCAAAGCCATGCTCCTCTAAGTGTCCACGCTTTCTAATGACTGTGACTTTCAGGTCCCGCGAAGAGATGTGGAAAGTTCTGTAAGGAGACCTGCAGTGAAGGGGAAAGTTAACAAAAGGGACAGAGGACACGTGAAGACAAAAAGCCAGAGTGGAGTTAGTCCCCCACCTCAAATGAATTGTGTTAGACCCCATCCAGCAGCACTTTGATGGCCTGTTTTCTCTTCCTTGTTTGCAAACCTTATCCTGGCTGTTTGCTGCATTATTTGTTTGAAATTCCAATAAACCAAGCCTCCTAGACGTTGTACTGCTGGGGGACACTGCGATGAGTGGCGCTGGAGGACGGGGAGGCCTCGGCCCAGCTCGGTTCGGTTCCCCTCCCTACGACCTACAACTTCAAGGCGTCACCCTGAAAGGCTTTCTGGCTGAGAAATGCTATTAAACACCCAAAATGAATTTTTTAATGATGTGAGGAAGTGGGGTGAGCTAGCTGATCTTTGATGGGAAGATGAAATCATGTGCTTTGCGAACTGGAAAAAAAATAAGCCAGAGTGCCAGGAGAAAGCACACTGCAGCCAGAGCCAGGACTGCGCCCAGCGCCCGCTCCGCCTGCCAAGCGCCTGGGCTTCCGGGCGGGCGCCCTGAAAACTGGAGAGTCACGTCCACTTCCTGCGGAGCTCTGCCTGGAAACCTGGGGTCTTACCCAGCCTGAAAGAATTCGCATTTATTGTCTTCGTTTCCTTACATGGCTCTAAAGAACCGTCCCTACCCTGCGTCAGGCTAAAACTCACCTCCTCCACAACCTCTCCCAACAGGAACTCTTCCTCCTCTCCACCTTTTGAGTTACTTTTTTATCTGAGCCCTTCTTCCCGGGTCTACACCCAGCTCACTTTCTCCTCGACTTTCTAGATTTCCTTAAAGGGAAAAAGACTGAGCGCCAACACGTGCTGGGCACAGGGAAGGTTTGTGCAAAGCACAGATTTCCTGACCTCAAGATTTTCAGAATTTTAAGAGGAATCATTAACACTAACAAAGTTCTTTCTGCTTTCAGATAAGGAAACTAAGGCTCAGATCGAGTAGGTTGAAATGAGAGACAGGTCTCCTGATGTTCAAGCACCCAACAGAGTATTATCTTTAGCAGACTGTCAGTAAATATGAATTTATTCTTGTTCGTCTCAGAGTAGGAATGATACAGAAAATAGCCAGGTATAAGCCAAGCCCCTGAGCTAGGTGTGAATACCACCGAGCCTCCTTCCCTGGGGGAAGGCCAGATGCTTCCTGTACTTGTAAGTCACCAGAGTTTTACTGCTCTTTTCCAGGATTTGTTCCAAAAGAAGAATTAAGCACACAGGCTTTGGAGCCGGCATCCCAGGGAGATCCGAGTAAGTTAACTGACAACTAAAAACCCAGGGTGGGTTTGACATCTGATCTGCTCTTTCTGTTCCCCACCCACGCACTCCCACCCAAGGCTGTCTCTCCCCTGCCATGGACCATTTATCTCCTCTCTTCTGTCACATTGTTCCAGGGAGAAAAGGAAGCTTTTGAATGATTTAAACTGTGCACACGAGGAGGAAAAGATCAGGTTTTTAAATATCACTATGGCAACAAGGTGACATTGGGCATGAGGACACAATGGCAGATGAGAGGAGCGGACGGGCCCTTCAGCAGGGACAACGGTACCATGGAGGTGATGGTGGCCAGAGCTTGCGGTTGGAAATGGAAACAGGCAAATTTGAGAGCTACAGAGGAAAAAGAACCTTACGGGATTGGAATAAAGGCCTGAAAGAGGAGGAACACAGGATGGAGCAGGTTCGGGGACGGGATGAGACATTTATGTGGATCATCTTCTCCAAGGTGTCCAGTTCAGGAGAAAGCTGATGGCTCAGAGCCAGCATTCACATGGAACAGCCCAGTCAGAAATTTAGAAGTGGAGCTGGAGAGAAGATCGTGGCCAGGAAAGTTTACCTGGCAACTGTTTGCTCACATTCACATTGAATTGAACAGGTCTGCACACCAAACTGCCCACATGAAACCTAGGGAAACCAGGATATCACATAGTCTCCTGTCTTTTCTCTAAGTTAATCTTAAATGGGTATTAAAATATATCCGAAGAAAGGCTGGGGATTTAGCTCAGCGGCATAAGCGCCTGCCTTGTAAGTGTGCGGTCGTGAGTTCGATCCCTGGTACTGATAAAAACAAAAAAGACAAAATATATATATATATATCCAAAGAAGAAAAAATTAGAGTTGGAAAATAATGAGCAATGGTTCAGCACGGAAGCTGTGAGAACAGAAGATATGATCTTGCTAAATTAGAGCAGAGTCAGAAGAAATAGAGAAGTTAAACCTGAAGAACCACAGTAGGGGGAGGAGACGCTATGTAAGGAGACCAGAGAAGAGGGACGAGAGAAGGAGAAGAAAAGGAGAAAGATGTGGTCATCTGCAAACTACAGAAAAACACACTTGCAAACTACCCTAGAAAGTAGCTACGGGTCGGCCATCAATGGGCCATGAGTTTCAACTCTGCTGTGTGTGAGCATTGTCTGAATGTTTGTTTGTTTGTTGAGATAGAGTTTCATTATATAGTTTAGGCTGGCCTTGAGCTAACTGTGTAATCCAGGTTGACCTTGAACTCATGGAAATCCTCCTGCCTCAGCCTCTCGAGTACTGGGATTTTGGCATGTGGCATCATGCCCAGCTTCAAGACTTCTTTACAATTAGAAATGCCCACTTCCTGCCTCATATGTACACATATCAGATTCTCCTTGGACTTGGCTATACCATATGTTATCTGGGGCCCAGCAGCATTGGGATCACCTGGGCATTTGTTACAAATTCAGAGTCTTTGGTCCCCTTGAGAAGCACTACCTGGGGTAATTTCCAGGCATCTTTGTTAGTGGAAATGGCATGAACAGCACTGAGAGGTGCATGACTCTGTTATGTATCCAGGGTTAAGAAACACTGGCCTGATGTATTGGACAACACGAAGCATCCTATCGAATTATACGAAAGAAATTAAGGTAATTGGTAGATTCATTCCCACTGATACTGTATCTTACCTTTTCTTCTTTGCCCTCCAACATCTGTCCTCTGTGACCACAGGAAATTTCTCAAGCTGAAGATTTCACAGCCCAACTCTCCTATCAGTATTGATGCCATCCTTCAGATCAGCCTGTCTTCATCTGGATATAAAAAAGTCACCAGGTCTTAGACATCATATGAGCTGGAGCCAGTGTCATGAAATATCTAGGCAAAGGAAATCAAAGGTGATCTCAACAGCCATCATGGCGCTGAGTAAAAACTAAGTAAACAGAGAAATACCTAGCTTTCCTTTAGAAAGCCTAGCTAAGAAATGAATGTGTTGGGCTGCGGATACAGCTCAGCAGCGTAAGTGCGTACCTGGCAAGTGCAAGGTCCTGAGTTCAATTCCTGGTACAGAATGTACAGTTGCTGAGCACAGCTGAAGATACAAAAAAAATAAGAAAAAACTCTCACAAGAGAAGCCCAAACAGTTGCTTCAAAAGCCACATACTGTACTGTTTTACATTTAAGATAAAGGAATACAAAATCAGCCCTCCCCTCCCATCCAAAAAAATATTTTAAAATCCATATTGCACTGATCTGCTGACATCTGGAAGTAAAACTCATCTTATTCAGGAGAGCTTCTCCAACTTTACTGTGTACATGAATCAGCCAAGCTCCCTTATTAAAATGCAGATTCCATTCTATAGGTTTGAGTGGAATTTGAGAGTCCACACATCTAGCAAAGAGTAGGTGTTAGTAGGTGGCAATCCCTGAAGAACATCACTGCCACCTGCTGGCAACACTTCACACTGCAAGGCTGGACCTGGAGAAAAAATGAGTCGTGGACTTGGGGACCAGGTAGATAAGAAGGGGTACAGCAGTTCTGCGCTATTCTATTCATTCCGGGCTTCAGTGGCATCTTTAACTCCCAGTTCTTGATTTTATTTGCCTCTACCAATCTTCATCTCCAGAATTATGCTTGACTATAGGCAGCTTTGGAGGCAGCAAAGAAAAGAACAGGAGAAGCCAGCTGACAAGAACCAGAAGTCACTGAATGACCAGACTAGGCAGACGATAAGCAAAAGCTTTGAGACCCGCTGCAGAGCTGACCTGCTGGGCACAGCGGCACACACCTGCGTGCCAACCACTCTGAAGACTGAGCCAGGAGGATCACAACCTGGCAACTTAGTGAGGCCTTGTCTCAAAGAGCCAACAGGGCTGGGGTGTAAGTGAGGGCACCCTGAGACCTGCTGCCTCTTTCTTAATTTCTCTTCCTTGGAATCTCAGGGGCTGCTGGGGAAAGACAGGAGCGAGGGGCTGCCTGCGTGAATGCAAAGGGAGATAATTAGAATAACAGTCTTCTTTCCATTCCTCAGACTGCAAAGTCGACTTGTCCTTTTTAATCGATGGGAGCTCCAGCATCGGCAAGCGTCGGTTTGGAATCCAGAAGCAGTTCCTGGCTGACATCGCCCAGGCTCTTGACGTGGGCCCCTCCGGTCCTCTGATGGGTGTTGTTCAGTATGGGTGAGTGCAGTTCATGTTCTGCATTTAGGAGCAAAGCGATGGTGTTTGCTTAATATGATGCCACACATAATACCAGCATGTCCTAGAGCACAGATCTGTCCTGGGTAAGGTCAATGAAAAAATTGGAACAATCTGGATGCCAGGCAAGCAATGTGAGCCTCCTTGAGGGGCAGACAGTTTAACGCATACTTGTGAGGACATGACATTTGCAATACGACTGATAAAGAACTGGGTGCAAATCGTGCTTTAGCCATTTATTGTTTCTCTGATCACCAGTCGTCCCCCCATCTGTAGATGCAGCAGGTTAAATTCTCTGTTATCCTTGACTATTAGGACTTGTGTCTGTTCCCCTGAACCACCATCCACTTCCAGGTAAGATGCCTAGTGGGCTCAGTGCCGTAGGCTGTATTCCCATTTTCTCTAACTAACTTTGGGCCTCTGCACTGCGGCCCGAAAAGCTCATGAGGCTCTGGGGAGCCCGAGAGACAGGGGAGCCCCATCAGTCAGCTGCTCACTTAAGTGACTGTCCCCAATCTGCCTTATTATTTTACCAAGGATTGGAATTAAGGGGTCTTATTACCATTCCAAACTCAGCCTTCTTTATTTTCTTGTTTAAGATAATAAATCAATCTCATTTCAGGTAAGAGTAGATTTCTGATAGATAATAAACAATGAAAAGAGAGAACAGGCACAAATCCCAGATTCATAACTCAAAGAGGTGTTTTTTTGACCAACAGCTGTTGGGGCCAAGGTGACCGTGCCACCACTGAGCCTGCAGGCTGCCTGCCTTCCCCCAGAGCCTGTGGTTTGGCCTGCAGAGGTGGAAATCAGCATAGCTTCGTGCCTCAGCTGTAGCCGTAGCTTGCAGGCTCCTTCTGAAAAGCAGAGGTGATAGCAATAGCCAGGAGGCCTCCAGCTCTGCAGAGGTTTCATGAAGCAGCATTTTAGCTGAAATAGATCTATTAAGATAGGAGAAAGTTTATTTTTAAGTTATTGCAAAAAAGCTTCAGCTTTCTTTTTTCTTTGTTTGTTTTGCTTTGTTTTTGTTTTGAGACAGGTTCTTACTGTGTAGTTGAGGCTGGCCTTGAACTCACTTTGTAGCCCAGGCTGTTCTGGAAATTGCAGTGATCTGCCTCAGCCTCCTGAGTGCTGGGATTATAGGCGTGAGCCACCATGCCTGGCTTTAGTTTTCGAAAGAACCTATTGCATTTTGCATTTTGAGAATTAAATTCCAGTAATACATTTAGTCCTATCTTCTTGTGGGGAAAATTTAATAGATTAATTGGCACTTACATGTAGTCAGAGTCAATTATATAAAAATAGCTAAGTGCCACAACTACCCTATCTCAATGTCAAGTACTCTATCTTAAAGGCTTTTGTTGTGAAATAAGGCTTTAAAAAATTATTGTTTTGTTGTTTTGAAAACATTAACCTATTTTCATTCCTGTGTTAGTTTTTAAGGTATCAAACAAATAGCAGGCTTTTCTATAGGGAGGAAATACAATATTTTAGTACCAGATGTCCCTAGTCCATTTTATTAGAGGGCTCAAAGCTTGAATGTGTCATCTTGCATTAAAAATAGCTGCTTTCAGAACTATGTATACCAAGGTTTATAGCAAGATATGAAACTCGGTGATGAATATGTCAAGCAAAAGAAAAATGGCCCTAGGATAATGTTGTGTGCCAGTGAGAACTTGGGTTATAGATGTAGCAGGAAAGAAAAACCAACAAAGATCCCTTCTCTCTGCTGTGGCTTGAATGTGTCCCCCCGTGTTTGTGTGGTGGAAACTTACTCCCCAGGCAGCAGTGTGGGAAGTTGGGACCTTTAAGGGCTGATTAGGAATTGACTACTGGTATCATCAAGGGCCTGGGGTAGTTACTGGGAGGGTGTGTTTGCTACTGAAGTGAGCTCAGCCCTGTGTTACTTTAGCTCTCTCAAGCTCTCTTGCCCTTCTGCCTTCTTCCGTGGGATGCCCCAGATGAACGCCTAGGCCTCAGAACCGTAGTAAGAAATGTTCCTTAACCAGGCCTGTAATCCCAGTACTCAGGAGGCTGAAGCAGGAGGCTCACCATGAGTCTGAGGCCATCCTAGGCTACAGAGTGAATTCAAGGCCAGCCTGCACTGCATAGTGAGACCCTGTCTCAAAAATAAGTAAACAAGTAAATAACAAATACAAGCAAATAAATATTTCTCTTCTCAATAATTGTGCAACCCCTGACGTATTCTGTTGTATAATCCAAAACACACACACATGCACTCGTGCATACAAACACACTCCACAACATATTCTCCTAGACTTTCCTACCGTGATTACCCTTTGCAAGAAAAAGATTACCTTCCCACTTTCTAGTTTCGCTTTTAAAATGTTCCTTAGCATCTGCCTTTTGTTTTTCCGGCTCCCTATTAATTTAAAGCACTCAGGGAAATGTGTGTGCCCTCCACCCCCTTATAATCACATAAACCAATTCATCATCGTCACCTTGCTTTGGCAACAGGGTGCAGAGGATGCACAGTGGTCTGCTGACGGGCCATCTAGATCCTGACCTTAGCCCTGCGGTGGGACCCTAAGCCAGTCACTTAACCTCTCCATGTAAGCGGTCAGCCAGTGATTTATGAGGGCTCTGTCAGCCTGGCGTTCTGTAATTCACCGATGGGCTTCGTAGCCAGAAGACATCCAGTAAAACGAGTGTTACACTAACAGACTACTGAGTCGCTTCCCTTTCCTTCCAGCCTCAGGCCCCAGCTAGGTGGGATGATCTCAGATGAACCGATGAGTTGCATCGAAGTTGTAAATCTACCCATGGGGAGAGAGAAACAAAATAAATTAGAGCGCTGCCTGCTGGAGCTGGAGGGTGCCTGTTTACACAGCTGAGACTGCTGTGGGGTCAGGTGCCGAGCTCTCTTTCTCCATCTTATGCAGAGGAAGGGGGTCTGCAGCAAAGCGTAGGAGGCAGACCCAGATCAGAGCCTGTGTTTCTGGAAAAGGACAGGCATGCTGGAAATCTGGGAATCTGATTCTCCTCACAGTGTTTTGGGTTCTCACCAGATTCTACAGCTTGTGTTTTAGGGGTTCTCTAGAGAAACAGAACCTACACACCACATATAATGATAAAACAGGATTTATAAATTGCCCCCACCAGTTGCTGGATAGTTCCACAATGACCACTTGCAAGTTAGAAAGCTGTAGAAACCTGCGGATGTTCAATCCAAGAGGGTGCAAGCCTCAGAACAAGAGAAGGAGGCAGAGCCAGCCCAAAGATGAAGGCTGAGAGCCCCTGGAAAGCCGCCGGTCCAAGTTCATGTTAGAAGGCCGAAGGGTCTGGAATCAGATGTCAGTGAGGGCAACAGCAAAGACACGCGGCCCCTCACCTACACAGGCCACCTTCCCCGTCCACTTCTTGGTGCCTGCTGGTCCCGCAGCCTGTGGGTTGTTGCTGCTTACGTTCCGGGCAGGACTTTCCCATGCAGTTCCCCGACCCACAGATCCATCTTCTCTGAAAACACACCCAGAAGTGTGCTGTACCAATTTTCCAGGCATCTCCTCCTCCAGCAGAGTTGACAACCAAAATGAACCATCATGCACTCTCTACTGCCACTTGTAATCAGCTCCGAGTTTTGGAATTGTGGGAGCCCGAGGCCCCAATAAACAAGTGGTTCTGCCTCTTTGTAGAATAGATGGGCGGCCCTGCAAAGAAACCTCTTGCCATCGAGGACAAGTGCTTGAAGGAGAGGCTGAGGTTGGAAAGGAGCAGAAGCCCGTGACCCCAAATTTGTCCTCCCGTCAAGCTCAAGCTTCTGTCACAGTGGCCACCGTGCCACAGAGCTCCCCAGACCTGCCTTTTCCTGTTCTTCCTTAGGAGAGTTGGGTTTTCTTTAAAAATCTTAAATTTTCCATGTAGAAGATTTGTGTAAATATCAACAGGAAACAAGAAATAAAAATTCAAGAAGCCGAAGAATGGTCTGATTTACAAAGTGCAGCACATCTTGATTCCTCAGAGCTTACTCAATGATCCTTTGGGTACAAAGAATGGAAAACCATTCCAGGTGGTAGAGGGAGATTCACAGTGAGGCGCTCGCCCTCCTTCTGTCCTTCATCTCCAGGCATCTCTGGCTGTCTGCTTGTCCACATCATCTGCCCTCAGCAGACCAGCGTCTTCTGCTTGCCTCGTGGTTTTTTGCTCCTGCAATGCTCTAACAGAGCTTCTGCCTCTGGCCCAGCCCAGGAAAGGTCTCCACCTCAGTGACACTGACATGTTCACTCTCCAGCGTTTGCCCCAAGGAGAGGCCTTGATTTGGGGTGCATCTCCTCCCGCTACTTACCTCTCGGCTCTGGACTAAAAACTCGCAGACAGAAGCCCACAGCACCCTTTCCTGCCCCTGAGCAGGAGGGACACCCGGGGCCTCTCATGGATGAGGACAGGGCAGCAACGGTGGAGGGAAAGTCAAAGGCTCCTGGACCTGGCAGAATAAAGATCCTGAAAACTGTCCACATCCAAACCCCTGAATGAAAGGGACCTTGCAGAAAGGATTAAAGGGAAAGATTCTGAGAGCAGAGATCGCCTTCAGGCTCTCCCGGTCTAATCATGAGTCCCTAAAAGTGGAGGACCTTTCGCACTGTGGAAAGGCAGAGGGAGAAGGGACTAAAGAACAGTCAGGAGGTGGGAAACTGCTGAGTTGGAAGAGGAAACGGCCATTGGCAAGGATGCCGTGTCATTGAGAAGCTTGCGGAAGGAAATAGATTCTCCCCAGAGCTTTCATGGCCCTTCGGGCACCTTGAGTGACGTCCACAGAGACTCAACTTGGATTTTAGATGCCGAGAGCTGTAAACTAATGTGTGTTGTTTAAGCTGTGATGTTTATGGTCATTTGCTGCAGCAGAAATTGCAAACGAATATAACTGGCAACAAGGGCCAGTCTCTCACGTTCTTTGAGTAAAGGAAGGAGAGGCTTGGGTCCAAGGGACAGCTGGAATGGGCCCAGCAGTTATGAATCGAGTATCC